CGTAACTTCTGTTGGTCTTGACCAGTACTATCGTTATTACGGCTTCTTTTTCTAAAAAATATCAATACAACGTTGGAATAGCTGTCGAAAGACAAGGCATTTTTTTGTAGTCTTTAGTTGAAATGCACCATATCAAGATATATCTGATTTATAGGAGAATTATCCATACTGGTATACAAAGGTATATACAAATTCAGTGGCCCATTCGGTGATAGCGTAAACAATCAATGATTTGCCGAACGTCTTGCCCAATAGGATGACAAAATTGATATGATTGGATAAAATTATTTACCGAAGCAAAGAAATGCTTGGCTAGTTGATATTATTCGGGGATTTTTTTTGTAGAATTTCAACCTTATTCAGAGGTACTTTCAACGTATGATACTTATTTGCTTTTATAAATAGATATTTGTGTCGTTGCTCGAAGCATTTCCAATACTTTAATAAAATCTATATTTCGGCATATCAATGATCACTGTTTGGAGTGGCCATCTTTACAATTTTCTTACTTCAATTCCAAACTTTTTAATTCCCCTCTATCTAAATCTAACTAAAGTGCTTGGACTCAAGAAAATTACGTATCATTCAACATACGTCATAATAATCTTTAAGATATTTCCAGTTGAATATAAAGTTTCATAATATTCGAAAAGTTCTGTACATTGTGTATGTTAATCAGTAACATTAAAAATACCTCTTAAGAATCCTTTAAAATATGTGCAGTTGAATGCTACCAAGTATGCGTACAGTGCATCGAATATGTTATTCAAGTGAAGAAACGTCCGAAATACGCAATAATATATGCAGTAAGGGGAAGTTCCAAGTAGTTTTCAGAAATAGCATGAGGCAATCAAAATCGATATACCTCTTTTTTTTTCACGATTTAGGAATAGACGTCAAGGACGTCTTGTTCTACTTTTGGTATAGTGAGTTGCGTGAAAACTTGCAGAAAAAGAGGTAAAAAAGTAGTAAACTGTACTTGGAACCACTTTTTCATTTGATAAAAAGACCTACTTGGAACAGGCCCTAACGTTACATAGTATACGTTCAGTACTGCTTTTTGTACTACCTTCATTTCCAATCGGAGGTAGTATACTTTAATCAATTGAAGTAATATTCAAAACAGGACTACTCTTCCATACAAAGTCAATAGAGGGATTTGACGATACTACAAAAGTAGTGCGCACTACGAATCACGGAGTAATTAGATGATTCACAGGGAGACTGCGCCCAAAGCGTAAGCGGTATTCAATCTCTAACGTAACGCAGTCTAAGACAGCGAATAACCAAAACCCCACAAAGGTGCGTTTGGCATGCTCAAAACAGCAAGTAGTAGTTCGTACAATAATCTCATTCATATGCTGCACGTTACCAAACCTCATTCCTTCAACGTTTATACTAAGTCACTACAGTACTGTTCTAGTAATATTTATGTGTACAGCCTACAGTACCTACTGTACTACTGTACATCGTAACTCGACATAAGCTAGTTTTCCCGTCAAGAGCCAAGTCGACTTCGTTGTCGGCGATGTCATTGTCCTCATCGACGACATCTTGAACCATGTCGCTGATGAAGTACGGCACGCGCAAGTTCTACTTGACCAAGTACGGCTCGATAAAGGAGCGCGCAGTGTTGAGGCGGCCGTACACGCCGGGATTGTTGAGGTCGCCGCAGCCGTTGCCCCAGCTGACCACGCCCACGAGGCGTGCGACACCGTTCTGTTCGATGGTCAGCGGTCCCCCCGAGTCGCTTTGGCACGAGTCTTCCCCCGCTAGCCCCCCAGCAGCCACCATCGTGTTGTCGACTTTGCTCGGTTTCAATGCAGCCGCGGCCTTGGCGTTGTCCCACGTCTTGACGCTGACCTCCTTGAGCACTTGCGACTGGGGACCACTGGACGAGATGGTGCCCCACCCGCGGACCCACGTGAGCACATTCGCAGGAACAGCCTCAAAAGACACCGTCACAGGCGTGATAGTTGTGACATTGCGGTCCAAGAGGAGGATGGCCACGTCGTTCGAGTGCGTCGATGCGACGTATTGAGGGTGCGGGATTTCCTTGGTGATTTTGACCGGCACGCCGTCGCTCGACCCAGTCAGAAAGTGCGACCCTACCACCGCATGCGAGAGGCCGTTGCCGGTGCAATGTGCCGCCGTGAGAATGACGTTGGAGGCGATCAGACTGCCTCCGCAGAGGGACCTGGTTGTGGCTGACCTCTTGAGGCCTGCCACGTAGCGGTGCTGGCCAGTGGTTGCTTCATGCCCTCCGACAATTTCGATATAATTGTCGTCTTGGGCGATGGTTGCAACGGCAATGGCGGCGACGACGAGTGCAACTTTCATGATGGAAATTGGAAAATGAATCGGACTGGTCCACGTCGTCTGGAGAGCTATCTAGTTCCATGTACTGTATGTGATGCCTGCTGCTACAATCGTTATCAGACCAATCATTATCAGACTGGGTTGGAACCCAAGCAGCCCTGTGATTCCCTGAGAGGTACAGTTCCATTGTTGCTTATGGCACATTTCCCTTGTTCTCATTATGTGATAGTCAAATGCAGTGTAAACCAAAACAACGCATTTCAAGGGTTACGAGCATTTCAGTGGTTCGCGATAGCCAACCACTGGTGATGCAACTCAACCCCAGGAATAGCCACACAAGGGGTCTGGGTTTTTTAGGTTACAGGGCTACAGCACTGCACTGGTTCTTTTGAAGAGAAATGATTCCATAAACAACAGTAGGGCCACATGTATTCCTCTGAGGGAATTCTCCACACAGTCAAGCTACCGGTACTACAGTAGTACTACGTAGTAACATACTACTCGAGTACTTCGAAGTACTACAGTACGTAGAAGTAGTGTGCAACTACTGTAATGTCATCCGTGTCATAAATATCCAACAGCTTGCGAACAATTCCCACTCTGAGTCTGGATTTTTCACTTGTATCCGACCAAAAAAAGTGGTGTAATGACATATGGCATGTGTCTTTCCAATCATGTGTTTATGAAACGGTGCCTCCTGAGGGAATTATGGCCAATGAGGAGGAAGCCTATTCGACTTCAAATCATATGGGTATTGTTTACAGTACAGTTACGGCGACGTTCAAGTTTCTCTAATTTCTACTACGTAGTATTAATAGTACGAGTATCTAGTAGT